CGACCTGCCTTAGGTCTTTCCGCAGACTTGGTAGGTAGTGTGTCCATAGCAGAAATAATAATAATAATAATAATAATAATAATAATAATGGATGATCTCAAACTCTTTGCCAAAGACAACAATGAGATGAAAGGCCTCCTCAATATTGTAAAATACTTCAGTGACGACATAGGTATGGACTTCGGATTAGATGAATGTGCAAAAGTAACTTTCAAGAAAGTTAGAATTACAGAAACACCCTTAATAGATTTAGATTTTGTCACAAAGATTAGGGAACTGCAGCATGATGAAGCTTATAAGTACCTAGGAATTAGCGAAGGAGATGGCATACAACACCCCCAAATGAAGGAAAAAATAAGAAAAGAGTACTACAGGCGTGTACGTCTGGTACTAAATACTGAGCTAAACTCAAAAAACAGGATATCAGCCATAAACACATTGGCTGTCCCTGTGGTGCAATACAGCTTTAATGACCAAACTGGACCATAGTTGAAATTAAGCGAATGGGCGCCAAAACGAGAAAGCTTCTCACTTGCTATCGCATGCATCATCCCAAAGCTGATGTTGATCGTCTGTATGTGCCCAGATCCGAAGAAGGCAGAGGAATAGTTCAACTAGAACTGTCCTACAAAACTACAACAATTGGCCTCCAATGATATTTGGAAACTACAGAAGACTGGATGATGGTATATGTCAAGGAACATGAAAGTAGTAAGCGTCTTTATCCGTAATGAAAGAAGCCAACAAATTCAAAATGGAGTTTCAAATGGGCGTAGAGATGCAACTACAGCACAATACACCGGCTGAAAACTGCAAAATACCTAAAAAGACAGCAAAGACGAATGCAACCGACCAGATACAGAAGCGATGGCAAGATAAACCGCTTCATGGCCAATACTCTGCCTGCCTGTAAACAAGCTGACGTAGACAAAACCCGTACCCATCAGTGGCTACGTAGTGCATCTTTGGAAATTTGAAAAGAAGGTTTTATCCTTGCTGCACAGGACCAATGCAGATATAACTAAATTATCAATGCACGGACGAAAATATTGATTTGTAAATGTGGAATTCCAAAATGTAAATGCACATTTGTATCAGGTTCATCCATTCGTCCGTGCATTGAAGTGTTTTGCCATATCTGGTCTTTTTATCTGCTGCTGTACAAATTGAGAACATCTTGGGAAAAAAACCAAAGAAGGATCTGGTAATGTAATCGATCCTGACCATGTGTTATGGAATGATTTTTTTTCTTTTTTTACAAATCCGTATGAATCCGAATCTCTCGTCGCCAAGATGTTGTTATTAAAGAACGAAACAAAAAAAGTTCCACCGAATGAATTCCAGAATCCCTGGTCGTCAATGTATTATGGCGAATTCAAAAGTTTTTATCTTCCTCCGTATGAGTTCGAATCCTCGTCGTCAAGTGTGTTATGGAGTGGTTTCACAGTGGAGGCTTGTATTTGTACTAAGTCGGTCCTAAAATAGGTTCGACGTACAAAACGTTAGGAACTTCATATAATAGGTATGACGCAGAGAAATCTAGTTGTGGTCGCTGATAGTTTAGTATTCGACTAACGGTCGTCCGGCATCGACTGACTGACCAATTCCCTCAGCGACTCCTACTACTCCTGCTTATTATAGGTGGGAGAGTCTATTAACAATAGAATAGGTGTGTTCCACTATAACACCATGTATCACGACTTTAGTCACATTCTCACCGCCGTGACATGGCTTCCCCTGTCTCTTCTACATATATTTTCATGGCACGAAAAAAATTCTCTGGCACGACACAGAGAACCAACTTTCCTTGCAGTAGATGAAGCAATTGATTCGATATCGTCACTCGAGTGTATTTCAGTGAGAAACGTGAGGCCACTAAATAATAGCGACTTTCTCTCGTTGTATTTAGCATCAGCAAGCAGAAACGGTTCTCTGTGGTGATTATTTTGAAAGCATTTTCATTTGGAGGCGTCAGAATTTATACGCCATTACTTGCCTCACTGATTGGAGGTCCGTTTCAAGAGCAGTAATCAAGTGACTTACTTGGGGTGAAGTAATTAAAAAAGATATATGGATAACAGAAAACAGACTTTTATGTGTACATGTATATATCTTTAACAAACACATAAGTGCTTTGTTTCGCAAATGTCCCTTAAAATCAGTAAACCATGTCGAGCTGTCGTTCTCATGTTCTACGATTTTTCTCAATTCCTATTTGACAATAAGCTTCTTATGTTTTGCTCAATGTTCATGTCGGATAATTTACTCGTGCCACGTTTTATGTAAGTTCTGCGGTATTGTAACTATTTACATTGTTCGGACTCTTGTCCTCCATCTTCATCGTCATATTCACGACGTTTCAGCCGTTGTACGATCCGGTGTTCTTCAGGTGATATTTATTGAAATTTTCAACTGAACTCTTTATTTCGTCCAGTGGATAAAAGCGTTGGTCGATTCATCCGAAAAGTGACTTAACCCAAAGAGAACGAGAAAACATTAGTGAGCAGAAAAGACAATAAAAAGAATAAGGCTCCCGAAGATAGAAGATTGCGATTGACGTTGCGTTTACATTTTTGAAGATTGTAATTGAGAGGGGCTCAAGAAATCAGATGGGATTTCCACAGGTGAGCAGTGCCAGAAAATAAACTATTAGAATTATAAGTTACAGCTACATATATCTATTTTAACAGTAGAAAGATGGGACCTAATAGCCAATCTAGTAATCTGATTATAAGCATGCATTCAAGTTACAAAGGAAGAAAGTTGATTTAAACAATTGTCATGCTTTTTTCACTATAATCAAATCATCTATGTGCATCGACTATAAATTATAATTATACGTTATAAATTGAATATTTTATACTTTATACGCCGAATCTAACGTTATAGGGATACTGTTATAGTCCGATTCCTTGTACCACGTTGATAGTCCAAGGTAGAACCAATAAAGAAGAACTCGAACACAGGTATGGAATAACACAGATATATTACAAACAGGAATATATACAGAGAAGTAGAAGTGTTAGTATGAACAATCAGGTTTAGTAGAGAGAACAATGTAGTCTCGACCAGTATCACTATTCCAATGTCTTGCAGTAATTGTCTGAACGCAACTCTGTTTCGGACTGGCTCTGACTCGACTTGAACTACTGACTATATTTACTATATTTAGTCACCCCCGCTCCACGAGGGCATCATGTGGCACAAGGCCGGTTTAACGTGGGATCTCCGAGCACGTGGGCTCGGCCAAAAATATGCCCATTGAACCCGTATAAACGGGTTCGGGGCCGTATAAATTCTACGTTTCAATCAGCCAGTCAGTTATTTGTTATGCATAATAAAGGCTTAGGCGATCATGTATATTTCGATACATGATTGACACGGTAGATTTTTTCCCGCGGTTGGTTGCCATTTCTTTCTGGGTTAAAAATATGGAAGCCGGTCTGTCTTGCTATTTACCCATAGCTGGGGTAAGAAGAAGAAGATTCATACCTTTCCCATAGGTATTAGCACGCAAGTGAATGTAATAGATTTGACTGGAATTCGAACTCGGCTCTATGATTCCTCAATTCGAGCCGCTATCCGTTACTCCACAGTGCCTTCTTAATGTGTTTCAATACATAATGTAAACTATACAATTTTCTATTATACTCAGTACGAACCGTAACAAATTTTAAATTTAGGTTAAAATTATCTTCCACAAATTATAAAAGTGAGTGTGTATTATACACGTGCAATGTTTCCGTATTTACGGTATTATACTCGAATAATTACGTTAGGCGCTATAGTCAAACCTCGAGAGAGAAAAGCATCGACATCCAATTCCACCAGGTCACAAATGCTTGCCTCTCATCTCTCCTTGTGGCACGTAACATATTTAAATCGATGACACATTACCTGTCGCCACAATGTAACCATAAATTCAAATTAGATCTGGACTATTGGGATTTACCACGATTGGGTATTAATCTCTACACAGATAATGAAGCCACAGCTTTTTGTCATGCTTCCAATATTTTAATCGATTGCAAGATTAATCAAATCAGTGCTTAAGTTAATTAACTGACCGAAAGCTGACCTGATCCTCAGGAAGCAATTTTATATTACGTTAGAAAGAAAGCTTTGTCGTTTGTTTTTTTTTGTTTTTAACATGATCCATTTAAGGGTACTTTTCCAATATTTACGGTAAAAACATTCATTTTGTTACGTTGTAATGTTTCTTCTTTTGCAAATTTCTTAATATCAGAACCGTCCTTGATAAGACAATAAACTACATCCACGTCCTGAGTAAAACGATAAACTCCATCAGACAGCAAGGCCTTTGATCAAGAGGTTTTGGGGAGCATGCAACCACCTCTTAATTGGTGGTTTTCCCTGACTCGGGGGTGTTAGCACCCACCTGTCAGGGTCCTAGTCATGGGCAAATAGTTACCCCACCAAAGGGCTCAACACTATGAAAATATAAAACGTAGGTTTTAATACCAGCAATACATTTTCGGAAAAAAAATATGACCAGCAATAAATTTTTGAAAAAATATTACCAACAATACATTGTTGGAAAAAAAATATTACCAATAATAAAAATCTTGTCGACATTCAATAACCCATTGAGGTTGATAAGCCGTAAAACAAACCAAACTAAACCAAGATAGATAGATAGATAGATAGATAGATAGATAAATTTAAAAATATTACCAGCAATAAAAATCTTGTCGACATTCAATAACTTATTCTGGTTGATAAGCCGTAAAACAAACCAAACCAAACCAAGATAGATAGATAGATAGATAGATAGATAGATAGATAGATAAAAAAAAAACATTCGTCCGTTGACGAAAATTTCGTTTACTTTTCCTTTTACAGACCATAATAGTAACATTTATCTTTCGGCACTCAACAATAATTGGAGGTGAGAAAACTTTTGTATTTTGTAACTAAATTATCTGGTTTGGTTTGTTCTACGGCATATTATCCTCAATGGGTTATTTAATGCCGACAAGATTTTTATTGCTGGTAATATTTTTTTTCTCTATCTATCTATCTATCTATCTATCTATCTATCTATCTGTTTCATTTGTTCTGTTTTACGGCATATCAACCTCCATGGTTTATTAAATGCCAACAAGATTTTTATTGCTGCTAATATATTTATTCAAAAATGTATTGCTGTTAATATTTATTTTTTACCAAAAATGTATTGTTGGTAATATTTTTTTTTCAAAAATGTATTGCAGGTAATATTTTTTTCTTCAAAAATTCATTGCTGGTGGACCTGGGAACACCTGCAATTAAGAGATGGTTTAACACCCCTCAAAACCTCCTGATCAGAGGCCTTGTGGTTGGATGTAATTTATCCTCTTACCCAGGACGCTTTGGTTTAGTGATACAATTTTCATTTAAAGGAGTTTATGAACAATTTGCTATTTTTTTTTTTTTTTTTTAGAAATAATGACTGATTTAAACCCCCTGAAGAAAAAAAGGAAAAGGATTATCCACTGTTTCTTAAAGATTAGGCATCCAATTTAAATTATTAAGTATTAAAATATTAAATATTTTCAAAAATGTACTGCTGGTAATATTTTTTCAAAAATATATTGCTGGTAATATTTTTTTTCAAAAATGTATTGCTGGTAATACTTTTTTTTAAAAATGTATTGCAGGTAATATTTTTTTTCCAAAAATGTACTGCAGGTAATATTTTTTTTCCAAAAATGTATTGCTGGTAATATCTTTTTCAAAAATGTATTGCTGGTAATATTTTTTAAAAAAATGTATTGCAGGTAATATTTTTTTTCAAAAATGTATTGCAGGTAATATTTTTTTTCAAAAATGAATTGCAGGTAATATTTTTTTTTAAAAATATATTGCTGGTAATATTTTTAAAAAAAATGTATTGCAGGTAATATTTTTTTTCCAAAAATGTCTTGCAGGTAATATTTTTTTCAAAAATATATTGCTGGTATTGAAACCTATTTTAATACTTTCATAGTATTGTGACCTCAGATTGGGCCCAACTATTTGCTTACAGCTGGGACCCCAACCCTCATACACAGTACTGTAAATTATCTGGACACTCATTACACACATCTATAAATAAGCATACGAGAAATAATGAATATACTTTACTTATTCTTTATTGTATCCTTCAATTGGATTCAAATCCATATTTAATCCACATTTGATCCCAGACTCACAAATGTATTCTTTATTACTGTCTCTCGCGTCTTCAACACCACATAACAACAAGATAATAAATAATATTCGTTTTGTTGTTTTCACATTTTGTTGTTTCCCAATTTTACAAGTATTTTTGTATATATAAATATTAGGGGGCGGGGTTATAATTATTTACTCCAAGTAATACCACCCCTATATTTCCAGATATTTTACAAGCAATTTTTGTTTCATTTTCTGTTCTCGTGTAAAATCAAAATCCATCGTTTTACGTATTTTATCTTTGTATCAGTCAGTTATGTGTTATGCGTGATATACACTTAGGCGATCATGCAGGTTGCCATTTCTTTTTACGGTAGACAAGTTGCCATCCAAGGCTATTGAACTAGATCTGTTCTGCTATTTAACCATAGCTGGGGGAGAAGAAGAGGATTCATAACTTTCTCAAGTGTATTAGCACGTAAGTGAATGTAATGTTATCTTTGTATACGATGAGTTTATAGATTTTTTCTGTTTTAGATGAACGATAGGTTTCAAATACAAAGTTTTCACGTTTCAAGTGTTCTCTGTTCAGCCGTAACCATGAGAGTTCACCTGTAATTATTTCTACTCATCTGTTGAATTTTTTCTTTCTGTCTTTGACTTCTTCTCTCGAGTTTTCTTGAATCTCTGATCTCGCTGCTTCTTATCGTTTATTCGTTTTGTTATTGTTCTTGTTGTTTTGATTATTACTTTGTCCTTTGTTCGTTCTCCAACTATCTTCAGGTGTATCTTTTATTTTCTTTTGGCAAATTTTAATTTCTTTTTCTTTATATGCTCCCCGCCCAGAACGTAGACAATCATGGCTTTCCACAATTTCCTGTCCTTTGTTAATCTTAATAAATTGTGTGTGTGTTTTTTCTTCCTAAACTTCGTTCCGCCAGACATTTACACAAACTCACTAAATATGTTAAAGCTTTGTTTTCTCCTTCCCTCTTGCCTTTGAGTATCATACTTTCCAAGCCAAGCCATATTTCCTCATTATGTATTCTGGCCTTGAAAGAGATAATTACTGTACGCTGTATATTTAAACACATGGATATGTCTTTACGGAGAGGCGATTTGCCTTGTCTCCGCTTCTCCATTCCGAACAAACGAGAAAATTACCTGGTAACAGCCATAGTGAGTATGAAACAAATGTTTTTTTTTTTTTGGAATATACAAAAGTAATCTTTTAATGATAGATCTGGATAAACATAATAGACAGCTATGTGTGAAGAGCTTTGAAAGAGAGTCTTGTAGCACTCACAGTGCATAGCAACATCGACAATATGGCGTCGAGTGCCTTCAAGCGGACAGATAATAAAATCTGGACTATGAGGAATAACATATCCAAACGGATCTTTTTTTTCCACTCAAAGAGTGAAGAGTTCTATCACGGAAAACGAAATACTAATACATTAATAAAAAAAATGAAAGTCTTTGTTGAACACCTCTTCTTTATGTGCCCCAGGACGTAGGCGATCACGGCTCTCCACAAGTTCCAGTCCCTTGCAGCTCTTAATAAATTTGCTCTTTTTGTTATTTCTCCTAAACCCTGTTTCGCCATCCATTTACTCAAGCTCACTAAGTATGTTATGCGTTGTTTTCCTCTGTACCTCTTGCCCTCAATCTTTCTTAAGTGTATGAGATTTCCCAAGCCCTCTTTCCTCATCATGTAACCTAGAAACCTCAACTGTTTCTTCCTTTCTTTTTTGCTTCAATTTTAACTCTAAAACTCCACCGAAGCTCACTTTGTCGGTCAATAGTATCATCAATATTTCTTTTGCTTCAAGTTTCTTCTTCAACTTTATGGAATCTATCTATCTATCTATCTATCTATCTATCTATCTATCTATCTATCTATCTATCTATCATTCGCAGACAGTAATGTTTCGCAGTATCACAGCTCCTCAGTGCAACTAGACATACGAATGCCTCAAGGCAAGATCGAAACCCAGCTGCTTTGGTGTCAGTCAGACCACTTCTATCACAGAGCTATCTTCATTCGGCAGAGTGAAATAGCCAAATCTAGCATATTGTTTTTACAAATGTAAACAAATTCCAATAGGCTGGAGTGTTCTATTCATTTTACTGAAGACGTTTACATTAATCCAGGTGGATGTTGTTTATAGAATTAGCGTTTCACTCAACAGCGCTCAGTTGTAATATATTTTCAAGAACTAAATTATGTCATTCGCAGACAGTACTGTTTCGCTGTATCACAGCTCCTCAGTGCGACTAGACATCCGAATGCGGCAAACCAAGATCGAAACCCGATTTGGTGTCAGTCAGAGTTTCTACCACTGAGCCATCTTCATTAGGCAGAGTGAATCAGCTATATCTAGCGTATTGTCTTTACGAATATAAACAAATGTCAATCAGCCGGAGTGCTCTATTCATTTTACTGAAGAGCTTTGCATTAACGCAGGTGGCTTTATATATATATATATATATATATATATATATATATATATATATATGAATGCATGTCTGTGAGTGGATTTGGAAGAGAATGTAATGCCTTGCTGCCTGATGTAGTTTATCGTCATACCCAGGATTATAGTCGGTGGAAGTATAAGATTCGCTGACGTCACAGAAGTAAATAGTTTTAGGATCCAGCTCCGTGTTTTCTTTTCAGAGAGAACGTCAGCGCGATCTTTAGAATGTAAAACTCGTAGTTACTTATTGTTTTATTTCTGTAAAAGCGACAGTTCTAGTATTTCAGATTTTGAGTACGTATTAATTTTCTGTCAAAATGAAAAATGAATTATCTCATTAAAAAAAAATATTTTTTTTAAGTTTTAATATTCCTTGCTAATTTCATTTTCGCTTTAATCACTTCAGGGTTTGTTGGCTTTAGCGATTCATTAGCATCTAGTCTGCGTAATGTCTATGAAGTTGTTTAGAGTACGCAAGAGTTAATGTACCGTTGAGCTGAATGCGATGGTTCATTAAGTACTGATTAGATTAAAAACGATTCTTCGATTTTTGCGCTTGAGATGCACAATGCAAGGTAGTCTAGTCAGAGAGAATTCAGCTGACAAAATTAGGAGGCACTCACAAAAGGTAGACGTTCCTGTTAATGGATGAACCATGAAAGAAAGGTTTATGCTCGCATTTCTATTTCCCTCATTATGGGATTTATAATAGCATAGTATAGCTGGACACTCGTATTCAAGGATACCCGTCTACTACGGTGGCTAGCGAATCCTTATTGCAGACGCTTGCTCAGACACATTTGTGTTTATTCAACACCTACAGAATCCACCTGTGATCTATACTGCAACTATGCTTAGTATACCTTAGTTACTGTTTCTGGGGGAGATCGTGTTTTCAAGCGTGATCAACAATTTGAACGAGGCCAAACCCTCGGTCACAATGACTTGTGACTTCATGTTAACACAGCTATTGACGCCCCCAAGGATTCCGTCTACCCAGTTTCACTCACAAGGTTTGGGTTAAGCCGGGGTGTGGTTTTCCGGTACTTTCCAAATGTGCCGCATGCTGGGATCTACCTCTCCAGTCCGATAACATCAGGAAGTCTCCTTCCTGACAAATCGACCATGGTGTGATTCGAAACCGGGTCTCATGCTTAGAATGCGACCCACTATGCCACGTGCCCAATGGGCATTATAATATCCCTGATATAATAACACTGTATTTCATTGGCGGGTCGGACTAGCTGAAAGTCAAATGTATGGCAAACATGCTTTTAATTTTACAAGGGAGTTTTATAATATTAAATCGTACAGAAAATTATACATAAATATTTACTCGTGTCCCACACAGAGAAACTGTATCACATGTCAACAAGTGTGTAAAAAGGAGAGGTTTACTTGTGATATTTCCCGAAGGGAAAAATAGAGCTACCGTGGTTTTTCTACAAACCTGGTGAGGCCATGTGTTTTTTTTTTTTGTAAGACCAACCGCTGGGGTCTAGAGACATCCTTCTTCTCCGATTTTTAAATTGCAACTGCGCTTCGTCTCTCTATCCTCTGAAGCCACTCACCGGCTGTCACGTGACCCTGGAAACTTTATATCGACAAAAAGGAGATAATTGCATTTTGCATCCCTATACCTTTAAGGTTCAACTTAAAAAGTATAAAAATATTCAATTTATAACGACACTAGTCGACCCACACAGATGATTTCATTTTAGTGGAAAAAAGCTTGGGAATTCTTCTAATGAGATTTCCTCCTTTGTAACTCGAACACATGGTTATAATCAGATTACTAGATTGGCTATTAGGTCCCATCATTCTGCTGTTAAAATAGATATAAGTAGCTGTAATTTATAATACTAATAGTTTCTTTTCTCGCATTTCTCACGCCTGGAACTCCCATCCGATTTCTTGCTGATAGATTTTCATTTTATTTCTGTTGCAGTGGAGACTTCTGGGGTTATTGGCCCTCGTTCGATGGCGTTCCTTCAGAGGGTTGGTGTCTCGATTAAGGGATGATCCTCGCGAAACGGAGTGGCTCTTTCAGCGTGTCTCACTGGACATGTTGCGAGTTGAAAATCTGATGCAATCACGGACGACGCCATATTTTTCAAGGCCATACAAATTTCATCATACACCCCGAAAATAGATTCACGTTATTGCACACCACCTAATCTGAGGAATAAATAGAAATTGATTACACTCTGTCACACCAGCAGGTCTAAAACTAAAATATATAATGAAAGAAAGGAAACTAAAGACATTGTTTCAATTAATTTGTACAAGGGCGTAGTTTACTTACTCCTTTCCTCTGTCTCACTTGCCTTGAATTTGTCCTGTGAGTGTTAAATTCTCTGTACCCTCTTTTCTATTATATGCTCTTGATTTTTATTCTTTCTTGACTTAAAGTCAGAACACTACAATCACTTACCTGTATCGATTACACCCTGTCACTCCAGCAGGTCAAAAACTGACCCTAATGAGAAAGAAAGGAAAGTAAATCGGTTGTTTCAGTCAATTTGGACAAGGGTGTAGGTTACTTGCCGCTTACTTCTTGCCCGTATCGATTACACTGTGCCACTCCAGTGGGTCTAAAAGTGAACGTATTGTGAAAGAAAGAAAACTAAAATGGTTGTTTCAATTAATTTGCAGAAGGGTGTATATATATTCTATTGTTAAAGGAGCTGGAAAAGCAGTCGGCTTATACTATCGCTCCAGGATTTTGTGGAATTTTGTTTAGCGGAATATCAACACTTTTATGTGCTATTTAATGCCGAAATCTAAACATTTTCAACACAATTTTAATTTAAATTAAATATATTTTGAACGCTATTGTATGCATTCAACTAAAGATAAAATGTATTGATGGGAATTTTATATAAATATGCATTTTTGGTATTTTTATATTTATCATAGTGTTCTGTATTTATTTGTGGGATTCACTCTTTGCCCGTGGCTTAGACCCGAAGAGCTGACACCATCTCGGGCCAGGATTGACCTGGGAACAACAGCAGGGTAAGGGGTAGTTTCAGGCTTCACAAGAACTATAATCTTCCGACTAGAGAACTTGCTGCAGGATGTAGTTCAAGATACACCCTTGTGCAAATTATTTGATACAAAACCAATAATTCCGTTATATATTTATTTTTCTTTCGTATATTTTCTAAAGAAACATCACCCAGTGCACATGTTAGAACTTCGTATGTCCATTCCACGAAGTCGTTCCTTACAGATTGATCACAGATTCTAGATTGAATTTAAATCAGCGAGTGTTTCCGGACCAGTACTTTGATTTACTCACTGATAAGGCTTGGCAGTGTGTTCGTGAAGCGTTTCAATTTTTTTACGTTTTGCGTTGGAGTAACGTCCATCGCAGACAATGGTCATAGGACAACTAATCGACAGTCGAGAGAATAATGTCTGGGCGTGATAAAAATCTGATGCAATCACGGATGACGCAATTTTTTCAAGGCCAAACAAACTTAATCATACACCCCTAAAATAGATTCATATTACTGTACACCACTGCAAATGACCTAATCTGAGGAAGAAATAAAAAATCGATTCCACTGTGTCACTCCAGGGGTCTAAAACTGTCCGTATGGTGAAAGAAAGGAAACTAAAACTGCTGTTTGAATTAATTTGCACACGGGTGTAGGTGCGATTATTTTGTCTTCATAAGAACTCTAATCTTCCGATTAGAGGACTTGCTGCAGGATGTAGTTCAAGATGGGGTATTGCCGCTATATCTGGGTTTGATTTGACTAATCCTCACGTTTTGGCCTAGATAATGTTCTAAATCTTTTATGAAGTCTTGTGGCTCTGAAGACATTCTCCATTCTGAAGAATCTTTTCTACCGACTTAACGTTACATACATCTCGATACTTTGTTGCTATTCCCAACATTAATCATCTTGCCATATTGGATCAGGAAGAAAATGCAATCGCACCTCGGACAAGATCAAAGTGTAGTATCTGTTGTCATCATCTTATTTTAATTGCCTCCCTCCACATCTATCTTCCCTTCTTTATTTTAAATTCTTACTGAAACCAAGTACTGTCTTTTCCACTCTATTCACGCAAATCAGAATAGTCCATTATTACCAGGTATTGGCAGGGCGTAATAGTCGTTAAAACTAACGAAGGAAGGGACCAGTACAATTATATCAGAGTTATTTAATATATAATATTTACCATTTTTCATTTATATATATATATATATATATATATATATATATATATATATATATTTTAGTAATATATATATATATATATATATATATATATATACATTTGACTTTCTTTATATTGACCGCAATTCTTTCATATAAAAGGCTGCTAGAATTTTAAGTTTTTGCTTATAATTATTTTGATGACGTACTAATGCATTTTCCACTAATATCTGTCTAGACTGTGAACGTGAACATGGGTGTTAGGTTAAATGTTC